AGGAAAGAAAGATGGAGGAGACCAGCCCAGTATGCCTGGAAATGCATTCCTCCACAAACCACACGGCAGTATTTGCTGTTTGCGGAGAGCATTGAGTTTTTATTATGCTGCGTATTTCACCGATTGGCTCCAATCTAACCATGAACTTTTGCTCTAACTGAAAAGCGGCGTCTCATCTCTCCTGACCCAGGGAGGCTCACCCCCTTTCCCTCTGTTACCGTGGAGGAAGGCGCCGGTTCCCTCCGGCCAGTAGGCAGGCATGTAGCTAGAGCACCAGAGATGAAGTATAGGGTGTGGATTGCTCCGTGAAATAGCCACTCGGATTCCCAAACCCATCTGCTACCCCTGTAGTAGCGGCTGCTGTCAATCCCAAGCATCAGCCACAAGATTTCACGAGTCCCAGACCCCGGACCCGAAGAGAAGACACTCACCGTAGGATTTTTGAAAAACTCGTATTTTGCGTAATTCTTCCTAAATAAAAATTTGCTGTCACTTGCCAGGGTGCTCTCCACCTGGACCACCAGCTCGTGGTCTTCCAGGTATCTTTCTGCAGAGGAAAAACGTACGTGTGAGATGAAACAGGCACAAGCTGGGAGCTGGCTTGACTACCAATTACGAAATCTCGTTAGCGTCCTGTTCCCCTTCCCGCATTGTGAGCAAGGAAGTCCAGGACTAAATGAAGTTTAGATCTCTCTTTGGGGCACCTGGGGGGCTCAGTTGCTTACGCGTCCCACTTCGGCTCAGGTCATGATCTTGCGGTATGGGAGTTCGAGCCCCCATCGGGGGTATGGGGGTATGCGGTATGGGAGTTCGAGCCCCGCGTCGGGCTCGCTGCTGTCAGCACAGAGCCCGCTTCAGGTCCTCTGTCTCCCTCACTCTCTGCCCCTCCCCCGCTCGAGCTCTCCCTCTCTCAAAAATGAACAAACATTTAAAAAAATACTTAAATCTCTCTTTAATGCACTGCCAGGTGCACAAGAGGTCCTCAGGTAGGTACAGCGTGAGGGGTCAAGTCAGTCCTTACTTTTATATATTTCTTCTCAATTTGGCGTCAGCGAGAGTTGAGAGAGTCAATGAAGACCCTAGTGATGACGTTGCCCTTAAGTTAGGAAATTTCAACCCTCATAAAGAACATGGACTATAATAACCGGGAGAAAGAACACCCAGAGACCAGGAATGGCAGGAGGGACCGGAGGAGGGTGGGGTAGGGGAGGCACAAAGCAGAAGGGTAGCAATGCTTTCGATGTCATGAAGCTCGGTGGGCAAATACGACGTCGGGTAAGAGCATGCAGGAGGGGACCTACTGCCATCAGTCTGTCTGAACCCACTTCCCTTGAAGGCTGAAGCCCATGCTAACCACATCCCGGAGCTGATCTCAGAGACGAGATTATATTATTAGGATGGGGAGGAAAACACATCACACACAGCGTGCGCCCAGGTGCGTAAGCACACGCACACGCACACACACACACGCATGTCAGACCGCCTGACTTTGCAGCGTTATCAACCTAGAAAGGTACTTCCTTTGTGGACACTGATTCCACGTGGCACACAGAGAACCGCACGTGGCACCATCCCATCCCGATGGTGGTCACCCCGGCCCCCACGTGTCTCCTAAGACAGGAAACCAACCGTACGAAAATAATGGGACATGTAACAGAGCAAATCCACGGCAGCCTTGAGGCGTGAATCGATGCCACAATGGCAGAGCACGAGATGCTACTAAATGACACAAAAGGGGTACGCGGGTCCTCCAAAGGGCCCTCCTCCTTTCCCATGGTCAGAGCGGAGTCCTGAGAAAAGTCTCCCCTTGCGGGAAGGATGAAGTCTGGCGTCAGAGCATTTCTGAGTCAAATGTGGAAGAACCTGTCTGTGTACAGGTTCGAGCCCGTGGTAGCTGCCGGAGATGGGCCCACAGGGGCACACTCAGCCTCCACAACGCCCGGCTGGAGCGTGCAATCACAACCACTACGTGTGCTTTTAAAAAAAAAGGGATTGGCTCAGATTGGCATCCACTTAAAACGGATTTTTCTGGTACAAAACAAACCAGTGACTTCTGTTTCGAAGTTTGGGCGGAAAAAACCATTTCTGTAGTGATAGGGACAAAAGAAACAACCACCCCAAATCGGCTGAAGATAGGTTTACAGAATCGGAATGTTTACCAGGTAAAATAATGAAAGATAGAAAAGCGGTGCCGTGGCTATCTGAGGGAGGACAAGACCGATGCCGAGATCCAAAGCAAAAGCATTTTGTCGTCTGCAGAGTCGTGAAGATGCCCGGGAGGAGCAGTGGGGAGGCAGCAGCTCTAAGGGGCACACGTGCACACACAGACACGTGGACACACACACGCACAGGCTCCTGTCCTCCCCGACAACCTCTTTCTGCCTCCCCGCATCCCACCAGGGCAAGATCCCAGGAAAGCCGCACACAGACTGGGCTGCATCCTCGGTGGCGGGGCCCAGGGCAGCCGGGGTGAGGGGAGAAGAGACCCCATGTGCACTGAAGGGGACGTGCCTCTCTGGGTCACTCTGGTGCCGCCAGCGGGGCTCGGGCACCCACAGGTGAAAACAAAGGTTTCCCTTCTCCAGCCCACAGGGCGGGCGCCCGGAGCCCTGGGACAGCGGGGGCTAGGAAGACTGCGTGTGATCCCCTTCCCAGAGACCCGAGAGCCGCCCGGCTTCCTCCGTCTGCCGCTGGATGTCCACATGCCAGTGTTCCCAGCTGTCAAAAAGCCACCGCAACAATGTCAGTTCAAACCCCTCTGCTCCAGTTCTTTCACCTTGATTCTAAAAACAGGTGTTTTCAAACCACGTCGGGGGATTCTGTTAATCACACTGCCATCTATAAACTTCATACAATCATAATGGCCTTAAATAAAATTGGGAAGCCAAGTTTCAAGAGAGCGCCCCCACAGGATTTTTTGCTT